GTAACGAATAAAAATATTTTCTAGTATATGTATATTGTTTGTGTAAATGTACAATAGAAACTAAATTGAAGTTTTCGACTAATATAAAAATTAAAAATTCATGTTCATTATTTTTGTCATCGTGTCCTGTCAGACATTTTTTTTAAAAGCGTAAAGTCAGCCGTTATTAAAAAAAGAATTAACCTTTTTGAAATTCTATTTCTTTAGATATCAACAAATCTTCTCAGATATTTATATTAATACGTTTAACACTCTACATAATGTTATTATTTAATTATAAAAATTCATTAAATAACGAAATTAACTACAATTTATGATATTTCTGAAAAATAGTTAAAAATTGTTTTAAAATAAAAGAAAATATTTACTAATTGATACAGAAGTTTATAAAAATCTATTTTTATTAAAGAAATGTTTTTCTGCATTAAAAATTAATTTTGTACATATTATTCTAATTGCTTAATGAAATATATATTTTTATAAATTATTTTGACTGATTGCGTTACAGGTGTGTTTTTGAGAATCAACTTAAAATGGCAAATAAAAAGAATATTGTAGAAAATAAAAATAATCCGAAAACATTTTTGAAACCTAAAAAAGAAAGAAAAGCAGTGTTTGTTCCAATGTTGAGAAACGAAAGAAGGAAGCAGAAAAAACGGAAACAACGAGCAAGGATAACCGAAGAAAATTTAATAATTCGAAGAGAAAAAGCGAGAAAACTATGCAAAAATGAAAAATAATTTAACTAATACCGAAAAAGACGAACAGCGTGAAAAGTGGAGAATAAATCAGCGAAATTGTAGAAAAGGAAAGAAAAAAGAGACAGAGCAGTTGCTTAAAAGTCAAGTCGATTCTTTAGAAAATTCTTGTCATAGTGTGCCTAATATAATTGAAAAAACTGGATCATCGCGGAAAGTTATGGGTCGAAAAATTGTAAGGAAAGAGCGTGCAAAAGCATACAGGAGAATTAAAAAACTTGAATCAGAGCTTAGTGATGCCTTAAAAAATGTGGAGAAGCACAAAAAAAGACTACAAAGATATAAAACTAAAACATAAAGATCAAATTCTCCATCTTCAAAGGTAAAAAAATTGACAGTTGAATCAAAAGGTAAAATTAATAATTAAATAAAGAAAAAATTGTTGAAATTGAAGTCGTGAAGAATCAATTAAGGAAAAGAAGATAAAATAGAAAACACAATATTAAAATGATGGTTGCAATGACAATTTGTAATAAATATTTTAAAAAGTATCGTATAATGAGCGAATGTAAAGGGATTATATCATCAAAGGATATTAAAAAGTCAACAAGCAAAAAAAATTATGCACGTTTCCACCGAAAAAAAAGTTTTAGTTTGAAAAAAAGAGAAGAATCACGAGTTGTACAATTTTTGCAAGAAGATGCTAACAATCGTCTGTGTCCTGGAAAGAAAGATCATAAAAATAATTAACAAAAAAGGGTTCTTCTCTCATCCATAAAAGAATTCCCAGTCAAAAATCCTACGCTATGTTAAGCTGAACAAAAAGTTGTTTTGAAGTATTGAGATAACCATTAGAGAATTGTGAGACAGTAGATAACTAGCTATAGAAAACTTTCAGGAAGCCTGTTATGGCCGATTTTTCGCTTCCACGGAAAGCTTGAAAATAACAAATTTTGTACGTTTTAAACAAAGCATTCAAGTAGCTTTGAGAGAGTTATCAAAGAGTTGCAGGATTTTGCATATATAAAAAGAAAGCGTCCAGGTGGCGAAAATTAAATGAAGCGTCATGGATGTTTCAGGAAACAGCGGAAAAATGACAATGATCAAAAATTAAATTTAACCTTTCTTTCCATCTTTATTTATCTCGTAAAAATATTATGTATTAGATTATTATATTTAAATATTGAAAAATATTAAAGAAAAATTATTTACGTCAGACTCGGTATTTTAACTTTTAGTACATTGTTGTCAACCAAAATTTGTAAATAAAAATACGCTGTTAAATTCATTTTCATAAATTATGAAATTCTAAAAGAATAAAGAATATATTATTTATAAAAAATATTCATAAATATCAAGTATAAAAATAATAATCTTTTTTTTTTAAATATTAAATATTTTGTCTTTTTTTTAAGAAATTGTATTCATTATTCAATATAAAAGGTTTTCACCGTATTCGTATTCCTAACCCCAAATTTTGCTCAAGTTATATATAATTTTTTTCGTATATAATTTAAGTGTTTAAAAATAAACGTTTTCTTTGAAAAATAATTTTTATATAATATATAAAGAATAATTATTAATTGTATAAAACGGATTTACAAATTACTATAGAATTTTTATGATTTTTCGATTTAGTTTAATTTAATGAAATTATTCTAGTTTTCAGGAAGTGTAAAAAAGGTAATTAAATTACATATTAATTTGCAACTTGTGAAAAGCGAATAGAATTGCTTTCTTACACATTAAACTAGGCATTAGGAAAGCATTCACCAAGCAAACTGGTAGACCTTTTGCTAGAAGCTGTCCACAGATATTCAACAAGCTGTAGAAAAAGCTTCCCGTTAAGAAGTCAGAAAGCAAATATCACAGAATTTTAGGTCTATAATGTATAAATAGTTTAGTTGCCATGAAGCTTTTGAAACCTTCATAACAGTTACCTGAAGGCTATGTGAACCCTTCAGGGAAACTTACGATTTTCGACTGGGTTGCACAAAAAATATAAGAATAAATATTCTTCAAAAATATCACTTGCTACTTTTCTCCGACTTCGGCCTTCTTGGATTACATTCCCCAAACCATCAGACAGAGAAACTTGCCTATGCATTAAACATTCAAACATGCAATTTCTCGTTAACGCTTTGCATTCATAATCATAAATTAAATTTAAAAATTCAGAAGAAGTATGTTCTCTAGCATGCTGTGATACAAAAAATAAATCACGCATGTTTAGAGAATGTGAAAAGTCTTGAGCGAAGACCGGAGTTCGACAATAGAACAGCGGAATAGAATTGAACCAGCGCGCGAAAATTTAAATTTGGAATTTTCAAATTTTTGACATCAAAAAAAAGAAAACATTGTAGTAATAAAATAATGCAACAATAATAACAATAATAATAATTAAACTATAAAACTATAAAAATTTCAAGAATTTTTTCTGCCAAAATAAATAATTGTATCAAAATTATCATTTTTTTTGTCAAAATCAAAAATTTCCGATATTTCGTTGAATTTGCGATTGAAACAAATAGGAAAAAGAATTTCTTGATTACTCAATAATATCGACGCCTCCCATCCATATAATTGTAACTCAAATGTCAGAACTATATAATCGTAACTCGGAGCTCAGTTCAATATGAACGTAGTTAATTTTCAGAAGAATAAAATCGTATCTCAACGATCAATTCTATATAATCGTATCTCAAAATTTCATTCTATATATTTTACGAAAGCTTAAATAATAATTGTAACAATTATGTTGAGTTTTGCGACACGATTATATAGAATTGATCGTTGAGATACGATTTTATTCTTCTGAAAATTAACTACGTTCATATTTAACTGAGCTCCGAGTTACGATTATATAGTTCTGACATTTGAGTTACGATTATATGGATGGGAGGCGTCGATATGGTTTGGCGTGATTTTTCCGGACGAATCCTGTTTGTATAAAAATTCACAAAATTTTTCCTTACAAAAATAAATTTAGAAACAAAATTATTATTTTTTGTCAAAATCAAAATTTTTTGTTTTTATCGTTTTTTTCGCGAATGAAAAAAAATGTAAAAGAAATTCTTGCATTCTCAAAACTTATTTAGCGTGATTTTTGTCCTCCAATTACACCTGCCTTCAAACTTTCAGAATTTTTCCCTGCAAAAATAATTTACGGAACAGAATAATCGTTATTTGTCAAAATCGACATTTTTCGCGTTTTTCATTTATCTGGCCATATATTAAAATTAGAAAAAAATTTAAATTCAACAAAACATCAGAAAATTTCGATTTTGGCCAAAAAAATGATAATTTTAATACACTTATTTATTTTTGCCAGGGAAAATTCTTGAAATTTTTATAAAAAACAGGATACGATGTTTGGAATCACACTAAACAATTGTTGTGTTATTAATAATAATAATAATAATTGCGTGACAAAAATAATGCCCAAATAAATATTTAGGTTTCTTGAATTTTTTTTCTTTTTTTTTCATACTGACATGAATAAAAAAATGAGAATTGAACAAGTTTGACAAACTAATTTTAAATTTATGTTCTAAATATTTCTTTTCTGATAAAAATAATAGAAAGTAATAATAATAACAGTTATTAATAATAACAGTTATTAATAATAACAGTTATTAATAATAATAGTTATTATTAATATTATTCTAGCATTATTTTGTTACTACAAAGTTTTTTTTTATGTCAAAAATTTGAAAATTCCAAATTCAAATTTTCGCGCGCTGATTCAATTCCATTCCGCTGTTCTATTGGCGAACTCCGGTCTTCGCTCAAGACTACTGAAGTCAGTAATGCGCTTGCGCTGTATTTACATTTTGTGAATTTGACAAATTGTTTTTTTAATTACTTTTAATATTTTTAGTAATTATCAGTGTTTTATATGGACTTTCCGCGTGAGATTTGTTATATGTGTGTAAAATGCAAAAGGATTCATCTTTCTAGCTGTTTGGAATTTTCCAGGAAAAGGAAGGAAAAATTAAATACGTATTTTTAAGGTTAGGGCGCCTAACGGATCTTCAATTTTTTCTTTTAAAAATACAATTTTTTATTTTTAAATAAATGTTTCTGCGAATTTATTTATATCTTCTTGTCTAAAAACCAGACTATTAAGTTACTACGTTAAATGAAAAATCATTGTTTCAATATTCAGTTCTAAAAATCATGAAATTTATGCATGAATTAAAAAAAAATTTTATGTTGCTTGAAAGCGACAATTATCCTGAAAAGGTTAAAGTAAGTTATAATTTATTAAATCCATGTATATTTTAAGTAAAGTTTAATCACCTTTAAATAATTTCGAAAGAATTGAGTAATCACAAAAGTTATTCAGTTATTTTATTATAAGGTGATATACTAGTTAAAATTGACACCTGATATTAATACAGACTGAATGAATTATTCTTCCACTAAATGATTATATATTATCTTAATCAACAGATGCAATACAATTATGATAATAAAGGTCTTTGTTTAATTTCATTTTGCAATCAACAGGATATTCTTATCAATATCTGATAAGCTGAAACACTTACCTATAAAAAATTGATAAGGTTTTAAAAATATAACACAATAAGGAAAAATATCGAAATTAAAAAAATTCAAAGTAATTTTTTTTTACTGGATTAAGTTATAATTTTCTTATAATCCAACGAGTCCTATATAAAGTATTTTGGATAAGTAGATTGTTAATAAACAATAAGTTATCATTGCACTTGTTTATTAACAATCTACTGATACAAAGTACTTCATATAGGGCTCGTTAGATGCGGAATTACCTTAACTTTTAATTGATAAGTTCAGAATTACCATAACTTGTTTTGTTTGTAAAATATTTCATTTTTTCCTACAAACAACAACTTTCATTTAGTAACTTCAGAATTACGATAACTTTATTTGTTTATAAAATATATCATTTTTTATTAACCTTCATAATGAATTAACTAACTAAAAATTGTAATTATTATATAAGTGGATGAAAAAAATATTTTCATACATGTTTTAATTAATATCTCAAAAATAACAAAAAAAGACATCTCAAAATTTTTTGTGGTGAAAATACTGTGTCGATTAGTGAATCATAATTCAATGACCAATATTAAAGTATTTAACAATATTTTTTTCAAAAAAACAGCGATTTTTTTAATTTAACCGCCACATTGGATTTCCTTTTGGACCAATTTTTATTATGACCTTAAAATCTGAATGAACAATCCCAATACCCTCTAGAACCCATTGACATTAAAATGTCAGATCTTTAACCCATTAACGCCTGAATGCACTAAATTTTTGGTCTGATTTCAAACTCTGATATTTCTTTAAAAACTAGACTAGTTTTTTTTAAACGACTTTTTTATGTATGAAAGTGTCCTCTATCCAAATATGTTGTCAAAAATTGAATAAAAAATTGTTTAACAATATTTTTTGGCCACTGCAATATATGTATCTCGAACAGTCTAACCTGAGTTGTTAGTTTAAGTGAAAGTTTAGTATTTTTTTCGCAGCTTTTTAATTTGTTTAATAAAAAATATATTTTTTTAAATTTTAAACTGTGTTTTTTTAAAATGACTTTATTAAATTATTATATAACAAATGTTGCATATTATATAAACACTAAAGGGAAAGTAACATATAAAATACAATCTGATGGATTACTACCCGGTCAGAAGCGAGGAATAGAGAAAAATTGAAAGTTTGCAGACATAGAGCAGAAGTTGAGAATTTTTAATTTTTCTGAATAGGCGATTTTACGTTTTAACCCAATTCCTCACTGAACATCAAAATATCAGAAAAATGAATTCTTCTCTATTCCCAGTAGAGGTAAGTCAATAGAAAAGAATTCAAACTTCTTATTCTTCTTAATGCGCAAAGTTTCATATTTTCAAATTTTTCGTAGCGAATAGAGAAAAATTAAATGTTTGGAGAGTAAATTTTAAATATCTATTCCTTTCAATCGACAGTATCAAAATTTCTGAAGCGCATTGAAAGGAATAAGAAATTTGGAGAGTGAAGTGGATATGTCTATTCCTTTTAATTGACTGTGTCATGACATCAGGACCGCATTTAGAAGAATAGAAAATGTATAGAATAAATGAGGCATTTCTATGTTTTACAATTGACAGCGTCAGGTTGTTAAGAATAATATGTATAATTTAGAGTATAAATTTTGGCCAAGTCAATTAAGAAGAATTGATTTTTCTACTTTTTTTTGCTTCATCGAGGAATTGAATAAAAACGTGAATGCTCACATTCAAAAGAATTGGAACTCTGAGTTCTTTTCAATTATTCGCCTCTTACCGGGAAATTATTTTTGTACTTGAATATTCTGTAAAATAGAATTTTAATAATACTAGTCAATATATGAGACCTGAACTATTTATTTATATTATATGGAAATATTTCCATATGCTTAAGAAAATTCTGGTAAAAAATTGAGTGCTGATTAAGTATTAGCATTGTATAAATTACATTAGTTTGTTAAAAAAATTTGCTATATCAACATTGTTACTTAATTTATTTTCGAAAAAATTGGAATGTATGCAGAATTCACTTGATTGAAATTTAAGTTCATGTCCATGTCATTCTAAATTAAAATGTCGAAGTTAATAAATTTCACATTAAAACTAGGTATTAAAATTCATATACCATTTTTGTGTTGTAAAGATGAAAAAATTTTGTAATTTTTATTTATTAACACAATTAATCATTTAAAACTATTTAAATTGACAAAATTATTAATTGATATCATTAATGTTCATAAAAATATATATATACGATAATATACTCTTTGTAATAATGAACATCTGAAAAGCTGTTTGATGACTTAACAAAATAATATAAGTATCTGTTTAATGTGTTCGTTATAAGAGACATTTTCTCAAAAATTTTTATAACCTCCCCTGGTCGAGTGCGTTAAGGCGCTCCCAGTGCGGTTGAGAGTTATGATGGTCGAGGGTTCGAGTCTCCGAGTCAACTCATCGGAAAATCCTAGTTTGAGAGATGAATAATCATTTTTTCTATTTTTTTCTATTCCCAGAACATATAAGTCAATAGAAAAGAATTCAAACTTCTCATTCTTCTTAATGCACAAAGTTTCATATTTTCAAATTTTTGGTAGCGAATAGAGAAAAATTAAATGTTTGGAGAGTAAATTTTAAATATCTATTCCTTTCAATCGACAGTATCAAAATTTCTGAAGCGCATTGAAAGGAATAAGAAATTTGGAGAGTGAAGTGGATATGTCTATTCCTTTTAATTGACTGTGTCATTTTGGCCAAGTCAATTAAGAAGAATAGATTTTTCTACTTTTTTTTGCTTCATCGAGGAATTGAATAAAAACGTAAAATCACCCATTCAAAGGAATTCAGATTCTGAATTCTTTTCAATTCTTCGCTTCTTACCGGGTATCAATAAATTCCATAAATACGTGTATTTCTATATACTTTACTATTTAAACAAAAGGGAGTTTTCATCAAAAATTTCCTTTTTAACTGTAATGGGTAGATTTGGTCTGACTTATATAAGAGAAAAAAAATTTCTTTTTATTTTATTGAAAAATATGCGCTAAACTAAATAAAACGATTAAATAATTTTTAAAGTACTAAAGAAGGTCCAGGAAAACCTGAATACTACCGACGGTATCGTGACGTAACATCGGCACAAATAAAACACTGTTGTCATGAGTTTTTCATGTAAAAACAAAGATTGTTTTCAAATCGAATTCTACATTCACGGAAATAGACATAAACGTGTTTTGTGTCACTGTGTGATCACCACAATTAAAACACCTGAAAAATTGTTGTTTTTTTTGACATGTAGATGCCAGAGAAAAAAACATCACAAATACAATAAAAATAAACAGAGTTTTGTGCATGACCTTAAAATTAAGAAGTTGAAATTAAAAACTTTTAAAGTTTATTTTTATAACACTGGCTCCAATTTACAAAGTACTTCACTTATATCACAGAAATTATTTAGGAAACAATTATTTAAAATTATTATTTTTTTTAACATTAAAATTAAATGATTTAGAATATGTTATCAAAGCTGCCTTTAATTGTGAATCAAGTAAACAGCAGACAAGGCGCGACAATGTGCCGATATGACGTCACGATCGAGTAACCAATAAAAATCGTTTTTCTCTGGCATTGATATTTTTTTTACTTGAAAAAGTTTTTTTATAACACTTTGCGTCCAAAACTCGACTAAATCGCCGTCTTTTACGCACTAGTGCTTAAAAGGAGGGGAAATCGTACTTTTACGCACACTTTCCCCTTCCATCACAGCAATTTAGTCGAGTTTTTGACGTAAAATGTTATAAAAAATTATGTATGGGACATGGGCGCAAATATAACTATTTTTTTAATGATAACTCCCCATTGGCGCATATTGGTTAATAAATTGCCAAAACTTTATTATAAATTTGAACAAAAATCCAATATATAGGTATATAGGAGAAAAATTTAACTTAAGGGGTCAAAAAATAATAATAATAAAAAACAATCCTATGTAAACGGGAATTCTAATTATGCGGGTCCGATATACGTGGGTTTCATCGTACATATATACTGACGACTTAAACAAAGGATTCATTGTAGATTATTCACATATATATTTACATTACAGTAAATAATAAAATAGAACATGTGTAAATACAAATGAAAATAATTCTCCCTTTTTGAAAATAACCATTCATGTGTTAAAGTTTTGAGTGATTAAACATGCATAATTACATTTGGAGTAAAATAGATTCCATCAAATATTATTATGATTTTTTTTGTTTATTCATAATAAAAAAAAAAAATTTTCTAGATTTATCGTTAAATTTGGGGCTTGGGAGTAGGCTCCCTTTAGAAAGGACTATACCGATATGGTATCATAGCGTGCGCCTGCAAGGAAGAAGCCCTCCCAAAGTATATTCCGGAAGCCGATGGCATCATAAATATGCTTAGGACGAGGTGAACGGGAAATATATGTGCAGGGGCCACTGGGCCACGGTGAGTTCTTCCCACATATAAGGCTGGTTCCACAATGGGCTCGACGCAAGGTAAACGCAGCGTTGACGCGACGCATCCCAATGCTAATCAAGGCGTTTCTCCAATAAGATCCTAAACTCTTGCGTTGCGTATGCGTTGCGTCGGTTGCTATTGGCAACCTATGCTAAAATCAACGCGTCAGTCACGCAACGCAAGAGTTTAGGATCATATTGGAGAAACGCCTTCAAATGGCGATGCGTCGCGTCAACGCTGCGTTTACCTTGCGTCGAGCCCATTGTGGAACCAGCCTAAGAATCCCTAACGTTAAATT